AACAACTTCGCTTCAACTGTTAATAACACATACACTTACATCATCATACCCAAAACATAAATTGAACCTAAACAACAAGTGAACCTAAACAAGAAGTGAAACTAAATAACAAGTGAACCTAAACACCACTGAACCTCAACAACACTGAACCTAAATTGTTTCTTCATTTCATTATTATTGCAGCAACTAATGCAACTAACACCAATATGATTATTGACCAATTTAACTTCAAATGTTTCTTCAATACTTTCATCTTCATCCTAATTTATTATTCTTTTGAGATAGAATATTTAGCCCTTTGCTTTTCATCAATAAAATTCTTCAATAACAACGAAATCACTTCATTTTCCCTAGGGTTCATTTCCTCATCAAACCAGACAAAGTTACTGGAGTTTTTGAAACCTTGAAGTTGCATCAATGGAGATGAAAGAAATTTCATAACGTGTAATAAAATGTAAGCAACAAAATATAAATTAAGGATAGCATACCTTATACATCCCACAACCATAGAAGTGAAGTCTTGGGTTTGAATCAGTCTATGCTGTCATCAATGGAGCATCGAGACCGCAACGACATTTGTTCCTCAACGAACGATTCTTGTAGCTAGCATTAGACACTGATTTTTTAGACATGTTGAATGGGTAACTGGAAGAAATATATGAAGATGAAGGTTTCATTCTTGAATATAAAGATGAATATGAAGGTTGCGTTCATAAGAAATTAGGGATGAAAAATATTCCTCTAAGCCTAGGGTTCTAACTTATTTAAATGCAGAAAAACAATTAATTAAAAAAATTTAAAAGATACAAATTATTTTTAATATTAAAAATGTAGATCTGAATATAAAAAATAAAATATCTTACACGAATGCACAACTCCCATGCCATGTCAATAATTGCACAGCCAGATGGATGGGGACTAAAAAAATCCCAAGTGAGGTAAAATTTAGGGACTTGAAAGCTGACTTTTAAAATGGGGGGTCTGAAACTTCAGAAAGCTGAAAAATAGGGGGACCAAAATTGTATTTAAGCCTTTTAATTATCAAACTAATTCTAAATTAATCCTATCAACTTATAACTCTCTATACACTCCCACCTAAAAGACACATGCCCATATGGTTCTTATTAATTTAATTACAACTACACAATAATTTAATAAATCGTACAAAAGTAATAAATAAATATTTTAAAATAATTTAATCAAAATTGGGGTGTTACATCCAACATATGTGCATATTTCTAGTGAGGATCGATCTAAACATAACTCAAACTCAAAGTAGTGCATCTTTATTTTCTATAATAAAGATATTGATGAGTACAAGTTGTGGTATCCAGTTAAGAGGAAGGTGGTTGTCAGCAGAGATATTATATTTGATGAGAAGTTTATGTTGAAATAGTCAAATATCATAGTTGTGCCAGATACTGAGGTAGAAAATTCCAATCATGATAACATTCAGATGGACATTGAGGAGCCATCAGTGAGTCCAAGGCAGATTGTAGCCCAACATCAAGATGAACCAGGATTAGATTCAGGTGGAGTGCAAGATTTGGGTTGAGTACAAGACTATACTCTTGTGCGTGATTGGGAGCCCTGTCGTATTACACCTCCAGTGAGATATGGGTTTGAAGTCTTAGCAGCATATGCTCGTCTTACCAGTTCAGGAGATCCTTCTACCTTTCGAGAGGCTATGGCTAGCAGGAGAAAGATAAGTGAATAGGTTCTATGGTGGAGGAGATAGATTCCTTTAAAATGAATGAGACGTGGGATCATTTTTAGTTGCCACATAGAAATAGAGCTATTAGTTGTAAGTGGATGTATAAGAAAAAGCTAACAGTAATAAAAAAAGAAGGGGGGAGTTCAAGGCTTGCCTAGTTACAAAGGGGAATTCATAGCAGAACGAGATTGATTTTGATGATATTTTCAGTCCAACACTAGACGCACTTCTATCAGGGTCGTATTGACCGTAGTAGCCAGCAGGGATATGCATTTAGAGCATATGGATGTGAAAACAACTTTCCTTCATGGTAATCTAGATGAGCAAATCTACATGGAGCAACTAGAGGGATTCAGTTATATTTGACATGGAAGACTTGTTTGCAAATTGAACAGGTCTTTTTTATGGCTTAAAGTAGTCTACAGGGCAGTGGTACAAACGCTTCGATTCATACATGCTTCGGGTTGGCTATAGAAGGTGTGATTATGATTTTTGTGTTTATGTGAGAAGCCTTGATGATGGTTCTTTTATTTTCATGTTACTTTATATTGATGATATGTTGATTGCTACCAACCATGTGAATGATATAAATGAGTTAAAGACCAAGTTGGGTAAGGAGTTTGATATGAAAGATCTGGGTTCTGCAAAGAAGAATCTTGGGATGGAAATTCACAGGGACAGGGGAACTAATAAATTATGGTTGTCTCAGAAAAACTATGTTGAATGTGTTTTGAGCATATTTAACAAGAGCAAAGAAAAGTTTGTGAGTACTTCATTGGTGAATCATTTTAAGCTCTCTTTGGAATAATGTCCAAAGGTAGGCTCAAATATTGAAGATATGTCTAAGATTCCTTATGCCATTGTAGTTGGTTGTTTGATGTATGTTATGTTTTGCACTAGACCAGATTTGGAACAAGAAATTAGTCAAGTGTGCAAGTTCATGTCCAAGCCAGTGAAGCAATATTGGGAAGAAGTCAAGTGGATCCTAAGTTACTTGAAGGGTACAACAAATTATGGTATCATGTTTAGCATGAAGCAAGGTATTCCATCAGTTGTGAGATATGTGGATTATGACTATGCATGTGATATGGATTATAGGAGGTTCATAAAAGGGTATGTATTTACTCTTACGGGGGCCTATATATTGGAAATCATCAGTTCAATCCATAGTATCTATGTCTACAACTGAACCAGAATACAAGACAATAACTGAAGCTTCCAAGGAATCATTATGGCTTACAGGGTTAGTGAAAGAGTTGGGTGTTGAGCAAGATGGAGTTTAGTTGCATTGTGATAGTCATAGTGTTATCTATTTGTTGAACAATCAGGTGTATCATGCTAGGACCAAGCATATTCATGTGAGGTTCCACAAGATCAGGGAGTTATTGGCGTTCAGACAAATATTACTTCAGAAGACTCACACTTTAGAGAATGCAGTTGATATGTTGACAAAGCCAGTCACCAATGACAAGTTCAAAGATTGTTTGGACTTGTTACATATTTCTCAGTGTTAAGCAGGAGTTGTACCTCCCTTGTTTCTGGGACGAATCGTTATGCATTAAGTCTTCATAGGGATTTGATATTTGCCAAGGTAGAGATTGTTGAATATGGCTCATATTGTTGAGATAGTTAAGGTTATTGAGATAACTATAGGTTGTTGAGATTATAACTCATATTTTTTATACAATTGGGGGTTGTTGAGATAACATAGATATTGTTGAGAGACTAGCTCATATTGTTGAGATAATTATGGGTAGAGATAATTGCATGTTGAGGGAAACTAGAGATTAGGTTTTTAGATAAACTAAAACCTAGTATTATATATATGGCTTGTAACACTGTAATCCAATGAAATTCACAATACATAAATAAAAGGAACTATAACTACTCTATAGTCGCAGATGTAGGTAATTTGGCCAAATCGCGTGAACAAAGCTTTTGTGTGTTTCTCTCTACTCTGATTTGTATTTGTGTTATTATTATAACTCTCTCTTATCTTTGATTAAAACTCTATTCATCAATAAAATATAACTTTATTAACTATTTTGCTACCACAAACCATTCTAGATTTAGAAGAGGAGTAATTGATTGTGGGAGTAACATTGAGTCGCCATTGATGACATCTTGGACTTACGGAAATCTCGAGAGAAGGTTTATATGTTATGGTCATTTTAATGTATCTTGTATGAAGTATACAATGGTCGAAATCCCCCTTATTTTATTAATTTTATTTAGTAAATATTTGGGTTTTGATGTAGGTGATGAGGAAAAAAGGTTGTAGCTATTTTAAATGGTTTTATGATATGATGAGTAATTGTGCAAAGGATGTTGTTAGATTTTGAAAAAAAACAATGAAAATCTTATGCAAATTATGAGTGACTCAAAGAAAAATGAAGAATGAGTAAAGATGAAAACTAAATTTAGAGGATATGTTTGGGATTTTCATGAGTGTTTTGCATTTTTACTTGTGTTTTCATTAGTCACAACACATGTTATGAAGTAATGTAATATGTTGTAATGTTCTTATATAATGTAATATGATATAATATATTTGTATTGTAATAAGTTGTTATGTCATAATGTAAATGAATTAATCAAATGAGAATTTATTGTGCAATTTTTGTGTGATACATTTTTAGGCCATAATTCTGAAACCATACGACATAACCTGATTGTAAAACTTATAATGACATAGAACTGTAATTTAATTTGATACATTGATAAATTTTCATTTAACAAAACATGTTCAGAACCTGTCAATATACCATATTTTGTAACTCAGAACCTGTCAATATACCATATTTTGTAACTTTGCATTTAACATATATTTTATATGTAATCCATAAGTTTATGGCAACTTTACACTTAACATATTATGCATTTTATACATAAGTCATAAGCCATATATTTCAAACACAAGCCATAATTTCACAACAACAGCACAAGTGAAAAACACTTTGATTGGATATGTAGATGCATATTATTCTAGAAAAGTGGACAATAGAAAATCTTTGTTGGGTTTTTGGTTAGCATTGTTTGGGATGACAATTAGTTAAAAAGAAAATAAAAATTGTGTAGTGGCGCAATCTACAAAAAGGGGAGTATATATCCATAGTTCATGGGGTCAAGTAACCCATTAGCTTAAACAGTATGATTTGAGAATTATCACTCACAAAAGAATATATATATATATACCACATGTGTCATAAGAGGAAAAGTCACATTTAAATCTGTATACACGAAGTTTTCTCGTAATAATAATACAATTAGCATAAAATTTAATCGACTATCTAGGTAAAAAAATACTTGCAGACATTTCATTTGTAGACAATAGAGTAGAACTATAGGCAGATTGAGTAGAACTTGATTCTTCTATGAGAGATTTTGAATAAGTTTTACTACGCAAGAAAAACGCAGGTTCATGAGGTGCTGGTAATTCAATTGAATAACTACTAAGATAAGAGGCAACTGTCACAATCGAAGGTCTTGCATCTGGATCATGTTGAACACATAATAGACCAATCTGAATACACTTGATGACTTCACTTTTAGAATAGTCTTCTTTGAGATTTGGGTCCAATATGTTGAAAGGTGTTTGATCCATCCATTGTCTCCACACCTTAAATAATATCTCAAATGGAATTTCAAAATAATTAAATTGATAACATAAGATATATTTAAGTGTAAACAAACTTAATAATTTTAATTTAATAGTCAAAATTTGAAAATATATATTGATTACAATGTTGAGGGTGTAATATTTGTGTAATATAATTAAGAAAAAAACTTATGTGCATTGGTTTATGTTTTTTTCTAATGAAAATATGATAAGTGTATAATTTCCTCTTACACATATGCAATTTCTTTCTATTTTTATTTCTTAAAAGATATTTAGGTATATTTGTCATGTTCTTATCGGAGAAAAGTATGAACCACATCTATAAAATTGTATCTAAGTATTCTCCTATAATTAAATCGGTGTAATTCGACCCCTCTTCTTAAGGAAAGATAATATTAATATATTATACTTACATAATTCAAGAGACCGTCAACAAAACATTGTGGTGTAGATGAGCTTATATTATTCTTCTTTCCAGCAACAATCTCTAAAATCATTACTCCAAAACTATAAACGTCTGATTTTTCAGAAAATTGTCCAAACATTGCATACTCAGGAGATATATAACCACTATAAAATAAATTAGGTTTAATGTTAATTTTACTATAATACACCTTAACTAAGGAAACTTCAAAAACAAATAAATGAGAGAACATTTAAAGCTTACTATGTTCCGACAATTCTCTTTGTACTTCTTTCGTCTTGACTTATTTCAACAATTCGAGCTAAACCAAAATCTGAAATTTTAGGAATCATATTTTCATCTAATAGAATATTGCTAGGTTTGAGATCACGGTGTATAACTTTCAGTCGAGAATGCTCATGCAAATATAAAATTCCTCGAGCAATTCCTCCTATGATGTTAACGCGTTCAACCCAAGTTAACGACTTTTTCTCTTGAGAATCTACAAAATTGGCCATGATATAAAAATTCAATCTCTAAATAGAAAACAAAAACTATGTATCTGCAATGCATAAATCTATAACTATTGCAAATTAAAGAGTTTATATGGCGAAAAGTGTCTAACCAAATAAAATGTAATCAAGACTTTTGTTGGGCACATATTCATAAATAAGTATTTTCTCATGTTCTTCAAGACAAAACCCAATGAATGTCACTAGGTTTCTATGTTGAAGCTTGGCTATTAATAATACTTCATTATTGAACTCCTCCACACCTTGTTTAGAACTTTCAGAAAGCCTTTTTATAGCTACTTCTCGACCGTCAAAAAGGATGCCCTAAAAATCATTAAAGAAAAAATAATTTTCTTACTTTATATATTGAGACAAATCCAAACATATGTAGAAAATTTTAAATACAAACTTTATAACAAATTAAACAGCCATCACAAATTTCGGCAAGTAAATAAAATAATATAAGATAGTAAATGAGCATATCTTAGTAACCAAGGTATATTATATAAGATAGTACCTTGTAAACCTCTCCGAAACCACCTTTACCAATATAATTGTCAATAGAAAAGTTGTTTGTTGCCGCTTGAATTGCCATCCAATCAAATCGTAGTGGTTCTAAAGTGGCACTTTCTTCACCAACTAAAAAAACATATTTCAACGTTAAAATAGAAGGAAAAAAAAAACATTTATTAAAATAGATGCAAGTTTATAAGAAATTGCATTTCAAAATATCTCTTTTTCCTCCACAAGATGCAAGTTTGTTATTAAAATAGATTTTTCAAAAGTATAGTAATTGTATAAGAATCACAATATGTTGCTTTGATTCTAACAAACCTACCGTGATACAAAATATACACAAATAATACTTACAATTTTCTCGAAGAATAGTACTACGACTCTTTCTTCCCCTTCTCTTTAGTAAGTAGTAGCCAATAGAAAAGAGGATCACCAAAATAATGATAGGGCAAACAATGAAGATGATTGTCCGTTTTTCTGTACACAACAATTAATATTTATAAATCTCATAATTCCAATATAAATAAACATTGATGATGGAAATATCAACTTTGAAGTAGTTTACCTGCATTTCTTGATAATGGAGAAGGACTACTCGGAAGCTGATCTTCGTCGTCGCCGGCCTCCATGTAAAATTGGAACAATTCAAACCTGATATTGCAACTAGGATATATAATTCTTCCCCCAACACTTCCCAAATATGACCATGGAATTGCCCTACTTATCACATCATTTAGACATGAAATGCAATCCTGATTAGACAAAACTTGCTTACATTGTTCAAGAGTATACAAGGTTTGTTTATCATTCAATTTTAATGAATTTGTCATGTATTTTCCATCACTGTTTCCTGTTTTATTGGCAAGTTCAGACAACTGATTCGATAATGTAGTCGCGAACAAGTTTTGGTCTGGCATGGAATATTTTGTTATATTTATATCGCGAAACATAGGACTCGTTTCCATGTTAAACAGAAAATACAGATTTGAATATCGAACCAAGCAGTGGCTGTACCAAATTATACCCTCCAGGGATGAAAGACACTTTGAGTATATTCGATCTGTTGCGTTTTTCACACATTGACTGCATAGGCTAGAGGGGAGGTCACCTCGACACATGAAGAGGCCGTACGTGCCTTCCAAATCAACTGTATGAAATGTTTTGCCACTTGCGGCTTGGGAAGACAAATCAGTAAGAAGTAACTTGAAGTTTTCCTGGGTGATTGTATTGGGGTGAGTTGAGCAATTATAGGAAAGATAAAATGGATCTTGGGAAAATCTACCATCTAGCTTTGAATCATTTGTTTGAGGAGCAAGGTCATTAGGTGAAGTAACATCAATAGACCTATAAAAAGGATATAGTTCATACCTAACATTACAGCTAGGGTTAAGATATCTCCCACCCACCTTCCCATTACAACATGTTGGAAGTTCCTCAATAGCACTGCTGAGACAGGTTCTGCAATCATTTGGGGACAAGTCCGGGGTGCACTGAGCTAGACAGTAAAGGGTCTCAAATTCCGAAACTCGTATTTCATTTGTAGCAAACTTCTTGTTCTTAAGTGGACGTGCTGCTTTATCTGCAGTTTGATTCATGAACGAATGCAATAAAGGAATGAAGGTTTTCTTGTTTGAGACATCGGCCGTATTGGTCAAGGAAAAACCAGACTTATCAACGGCCGAAAAGAAGTAGTAGTCGGAGTATCGAAGCATGCACTCGTTGTACCAAATCACAGCTTGTTTGAACAAAGAACACTGTGAGGATAGTTGCTGGATTGCATCAGCTATGCATTCATGACAGACTTTAGAGGGTACATCCCCCCTGCACATGAACAATCCATACACAGAATCAGAGCGGTTTATACCAGGGATTGTGGTGTTGAAGAATTCGGTGTTTCCCGTGGCTTTTGAAGAAAATGAAGAGAGTAGGGTCTTGAGATTGGTTTGGAAGAGGCTGTTGGTCGTGAAAAGGTTGGTGGAACAATTTCTATACAGAAAAAATGGAGAGTTTTGTGCCTTGATAGTTGCAGAATTGAGAAAAATAACAAGGAAGATCAAGAGAATTTTAGAGTAAGTCATGGAATTTCTTTATATTGTGTCTGTTTGATTTGAAATTTGAAATGATAGAGGTAAGCCAACAAAGTTATAGCATAATACTTTTATACCTTTGATTTTTTTTAAGGATATAGACCTTAAAATCTAATATGAACCTTTGAATAATAATTCAAAGTGGACCCTTACATTTTTAATAAACACATAATTATTATTTTAGAATATGAAGCACGTTAACTCCAAATACGATGATATCAATAATAATTTTAAAAAATTAATTAATTAAATATAATCATAAATATCAGTATAGATGTCTGACACAAACATAAACACTGATACTTTTTTTCTTCTAGAACACTAAAGGATTTGACGTATTTAAAACTCTAATTTTCGTTGGTAATTTAATATTTTTCTTAATGAACAGTATGGATTTGCATTCTCAGTCTAACGTATTATAAGGTTAAGTTTCTTCCGATGTTTCCACATCTTTTATATGTATGTTTGAATCTTTTCGTTATGAATATATTCTTTTTGAATGATGTTTTTTCCAAGGGTGTGGTGACACTGGTCCAATGTGCGATGTGGAAAGCTTCTTTATGTTCTAACCTTTCATAATTGACCTTATATCCAAGTTCAATTTGAGACAAAGATTTTATAAATGGGTCTTTTTTTGTGGTTATTTTCTTTTATCTCATATTACTAAAAGTGGTCAACATTGGTGCTTACCACTTGCTAGCATAGCACTATAGAAAGTCATGAAACGTGCGATGTGGACAGATTCTTTCTTGATGCCTTTATTTTGATGTTCTTATCACCTTAAGTTTCATAAACCAATGATATATTTAATTATACTTAACGCCATATAGATGGATCATAATGATTAATTTCTTCATGTTAATCACTAAACAATTGTTGATAAATAAATAATTCACATATTTGAATAATATGTGGCTTTCAGTATCTTAGCTCTATATATGTTATGTATTTTTTACTTAATAATTACACATTTGGGAACAAACATGTCAGTGGAAAAATTCATTCTTAAATTTTATAAAATTAAAATATTAACACTTGTTCAAAACATGATTTAAGAATAAGAGTTGATGTTTTATTTTTTTTTATTCGAAATCTTAAAAAGATGAGTGATATAATCTTCTTCTGAATTTCACGGTTCTCTTCACAATTTTCAATAGGGTAAGTTATGGAACCATCAATTATATTTAATTTTTGATTTTGTGATTACAGAGGGGACCTAGTCACATAATATATAGAGAATTTCTTAATGCACCTTAAGTGTTTCTTAGTTACTCGCGTGAATTTTCAAAAATACCATCGGAAATCGAAAATGTATTTCCGATGCGTATCCTGTACACATTTGTTTCACACTCCTGTTCACAATTATCAATGGGACAAGTTATGGAGCCGTCCATTATGTTTAGTTTTTGATTTTGTGATTACAGAGGGGGTCTAGCCACATAATATATAGAAAATTTCTTAATGCACCCTAATATTTTCTTAGTCACCCGAGTTAATTTCCAAAAATACCCTAGAAAACCAAAAATATACTTTCGGTGCGCACCCTATACACATTCGTTTTTGAGATTCACCATATATTAAAACCGGAAATACATTTCCGATACAGTTTTACATTATGAAATCTAAGGGTGCGCCCTGAAAATGCGATTCTGGAGGGCATTTTATTTTTTCATAGGTTTTTTTCCCTTATTAAGGTGCCATAAGAAATTCTCTAATATATATAACCCTAGTCCCTACCCATTATGGGCCAAGAGTTAAAACTCACACCAATCAAGTTTCAAATACACATGCTTTAATTAAAAAGACCACTTAATCAATAACTGAGCCTACTTATGTACCTCCATCAGAATCATGATTAACCTGTTTTTCACAAACTAAAATAACAATTGATTGCAACCCACAAAATATTAGATAAATCTAGCATTCTCCCACTTGGGAGAAATCAATTGTGTCATTTTAAATTAAAGAAACATTTGAAAACGACTCTCAGATTAATGACTAATTTCTTAAAATGCGGCCGTATTTTAAGAAATTGCATGATTCTATGTGTAGTATCTGAATATGATTCCATCTAACAAAAGTGAAGCAATATCGAATCATGGTGATTATTATATCCTTAATTGGTATGAAATCTTCCATGGTTATAATTACTACGAACTCCATGAACTAGTCATCAGTGTGGAGTGTGGCAAGAAAATAACATGCCAATGTGATCCAACAGCCAAACTGTTGTTTTCTTTGTCAGTCTTAACAATTTCTTTCAAATGCATTAAAGCCAAAGAAATTGCATGATTTTACAAACCATAATGTCTTAGCTCCAATATGGCATCGACCACCGGCATAGTAGCCCTAACAACGCCGAGCTTAAAATCATACATCACCTCCAATATGGCATTGAACACCAGAATAGTGGTCCTGAAGATGGCGAGCTCAAAATTATAATCATGCCTCAAACTCAAAACTAGTGTCAACCACAGGCACTGTGGTCCTTATGACACTGAGTCCCAATTGACATATAAATAAATAATGACAAATAATAACAATAATAATATTCACTGCATTATCAATTGCTCAAAATAGAAAATACTTGACAATCCAACACTTAAAGTGTCCAAAATAAAATACAATGTGATAAGAAAATGACATAAATAATAAACTACCACTAACAAGTGCATCAAAAGAACTCACAATGCCCATGTTCTCAACATGATTTTTGAACACAATGGGCCTACGTCCCTTAGTTAAGGGATCAACAAGGATGAAATCAATATCAATGTATCTTGCAAAACTAGTTCTTAGAACTAAGCTAACATCTCTCACTAGATCCACAATGAATTCAAGATTATTTCTTACCCTGAGTTTGCTTTCCCTTCAAATTTGGTCTCCGTTGGTTTCTGAACTCCTTCAGATCTGTTCTTGTTGTCTGACCAAGCTTTGAAAACATGAAAAACAATTTTCTTATGCCCATTTTCCTTACAACCAATAGGATTTTTTAAAAGCAATGGGTTTAGGACAATGTCATGGTGTTGACCATCATTTGGTTCCCTAAACTCAGGATTTCTATGAGAAGCACTATTAGTATTTTTCTTACTTTTCCAAGAATTCGTACTAGAATGGAGCTTAGCATGAACATTCAGAAGGGCTCAATCATGTCTTTTCTTCTTGAGTTTCTCTTCTTCAGCTACACACTTGGTAATAAGGTTATTGACGGTCTACTTATCACCAAAGGTATTATAAGCAGTTTTAATTTCTGTGAACTCAGCAGGTAGGCAGTTTAAGGCATGAGACACAAAGAAATTCTAATTTCGGTCAGTGTTATGGGTTTTTAGTTTGGTTTGGACATGAACCATTCTAAGAATAAACTCCCTAACACCCCCATTGTTATCATATTTCATGTATGTGATTTGTTTCAGTAAATTAAATATCCAGATTCAACATTATCAGATACTTGAAACCTCTCTCCATTAACAGTAAGATATTCTTTAGCATTCTCTTTCTTAGGTAATGCGTTGATCAAATGTTCATAAATGGTTCTCTTAATATCACACAAGTTAAGTCGGTTACTCCTTTCCTACTTAGCTAATTTTTATTTCTCTTCAGATGTACTTTGAGCATTGATCACAGGTTTAGTTTCATGCAATGACATGTCAAGATCAACAATCTCTAGTGAAAACTTTAAGTCTTTCTTCCATTTCTTAAAATTAGACTCGTTCAGGATCTCAATAGAAGCATAACAGTTGTTCATAGAGAATGTCATTATTGAGACAAAACATAAATGCATTAGAAAAAATAATAAAGGCAAGATATAGCTTCAATGACCATAAGCTATCAGTAAGAGGTCAACATTATCATGCAATCCCCTTTGGGTGGAATGCGCAAACCTAGGTCACAATCAAGGTTAGAACCTTCGATGAGTTACTCAATGGTCATACATTGGGATAGAAAAATTATCTTCTTTGAGTAGATATATTCTCTAAACCAAAGCACCTCCAACAACTTCATCCACAAATTTCAAAAATAAGCTAATCAGTTAGCATACCTTGTGTTTAGAAATTTATATCCTTTGAGCAAATAAATCTCTTAGATCAAAGCATCTATGATAGTTATATATTTAAATGACCACAATCTCTACTTACAATTATTATTTTAGTTTGTGAAAATATGAAAAACTCAGTATATACAAAATAATAGGATCAATATTTATAGAGTTTAAAGATAGTGCACAAACAGTGTAAACCAATATTATATACACGACCAATCAAAATTCTTATAATTGTCATGCTATATCAGTATTTTAAAAATAAAAAATATGTTTTAATTGAATACATGTATTTCATTAGTTGATACCAATAAATGAGTTTACTTATACACCTTCATAAAAATCATGATTAACCTGTTTTTCACAAACTAAAATAACAATTGCCTGCAGCTCACAAAATATTAGATAAATCTTACCAGACATTGTCCATCTAGATAGATCACCATCTTTGAAAAATGTTGAGATTACCTTCGACTATATTCACTACAAGAGGAAAAAAAATTTACAACATATGAATTGTGACATTTCTTAAAAATCTGATCTCCTTTCATCGTCAGTTTTCTAGACATGGTGAGTAGCTTGAAATGTTTATCGAAGAATCATCCTCTTTCCCCATAATAATACAGTTAAGTCAACCTTTGCCACTATGTAAAGCTGTTAAATTGTAATCCAATGTGTCGAAACTATGTGTCGAAAAGATTTGATTTGTTTTAGATTTAAATAGATTTGATTTAAGTCTAGAATAAATTAGATTTGATTTAGTAACAAAAAGATATTTTGGGCTTTGGGCTTAGGGTGTAAGCTCAGTTATAAATAGAGGGAGTAACCCCTATTTTTGTAAGCAAGTCAAGCAAGTCATTCACAGTATTTTACAGTTGCAAAGTGAATAAGAAAGTTTTCACAGTTTGTGAGCAGAGAGAAACTCTGCAGAAATTATTTGTCTTGTCTTCTT